GTCCACAAAGTGGAGTAATTCTTGATGTCTTCTTAAGTAACTTTCGCTTTAAACTTTTCACATAGTCCGGCGTTATAGATGTATCGCTGTCTGATTTAGCAGCAGATACCTTTATGGATGTCCGTTGAGCTATAATATAGCACTATCTTTATTGCTTCCGGCCGATCGATAGATAACATCGCGGTGAAGGGAGAGGTAATCGGGTATGCCTAAATGATTTAAGCAGTTTGCTCGCGTGCTTTCCCTCGGTCATTGATTGCGCTCTTTTTGTTGGTCCCACGAGTCTGCACGTGATTGTTTCTTATGGAGCCCTTAAATCGGCGGCACAGAGTATAGAGGAAATCTCGGAAATATTTCAGCAATTCTTTCATGCAACCGAAGTATCATATCGAACATATCCCTATGATAGATTTGTCGTACATAACTCGCGTGTATCTCTCAAATGTTAATTCCATGATCGATTTTCGGTCGTTATGAATTATCGGGCATGTCGATCCGGCCAATTCGAGTACCTTGTTAATTTCGCGCAATGCATTCCTGCTGGCCTGATGTTGCCCTTGTTATATCCGCTGTGTTAATTTCGACGTTTATCCTACGCGTACCTCTCATTAATGAAATAAATTCACCGCTGATCACTTGTGAATTTCACATTAAAGCATGCGGAAAGAATATTTCTCAATAAGAGGATCTCGCGGCTTATTTCGATTATAGATACTCAATTGAGGAGTTTGATATTGGGTTAAACGTCAAAGTTACAATAGTTATAACCGTGTGTGTTTTAACGCTACATCGATTTATCGCTAAAAGTGCCGATTTCCTAAAGATTAATTGCATTGTTCGGTCGAGCGTTTTGTGTCTATTTATTTATTTATTTGAACGTTACCAACTACAAAGCTTCGTACTTTGCGAACGTGTAACAAAACGGTGGTAGGACAACGTGAAATGTAATTACGGTATAAACGGACGAAGGTATCGGGAAATTGCACGCGATTCAATGAAAAATGCATTCAAGATAAATTAAAAAATAACGTGTCCCTTTAGAGCCGTCAACATCTGAAATAAATGTTCGAAATATAAAGTGACTAATGAAAACAATGAAATACTTGGTGAAGCTGGTAACAAGGTATGCATCGCTTATCAAGCGGCACGGTAATCTGGAATATAGTCGCTTGAAATGCGTTGAATTGCGAAAACCATAATAATTCAGTCTAGAACGCTGAAATCCCTAGTGGCATTAAGTTAAAATAAGAGGGACGACGAAAGGAAGAAATATAAATGTAAATATTAATACGGACCGAGAGAGCGAGAAAACGAGAGTGAGAAAGAGAAAGAGAGAGAGAGAGAATGTGAGAGGCGGGAGAGGGGGGAGAGTTGGGCTACTATATGGGTCTTGAGAGCCGAGGGTGACTTCCTCCGCGAGCTTGCTTCCGTAGCCTCTTTCGTTCACTCAAATATTTAATGGATTCGACTAGACCCACTCTTAGCTTTAGGTATATTCGGCATAACTTTTCCACGTGTGTGGACACTGAGTTCGTGTGCCGGCCAATTTATATACGCACATACTTGCCTGCGTGCGCGCTTCCCCGCGCACGGAAGCTCAAATCATATCCTCGCGAGTCGGCGTCGATTCACTTTTCGGCGATACCGGAGGGAGAGCGGAGCTTTTGTGCTTGCAATCAGTCGGGATGGATATTCCCGCGCTAAATCGAATTGCATTAAATAACACGCGGGCGAAGAGCCGGAAGGGCGATATATCGTGTTGAAAATATCACGGGCGAATGTGACCTATCCGGACGAGATCCTTATTCTCGAGTTGCATGGAAAGTTTGCGATAGCTTTCCCTCTCGTTATCTTTCTCTTTCGGATCTCTCTCAAATATGCTTGTCTATCTATATCTCTTTTTCTCTCATTCCCTAATAATATTTGCACAGTGTCGATTCCTCTCCGTCGCGCGAGTTATCGCATTGGTGAACCAATGCCTGGAATATGTCGTGATTGCCAACCCATACTTGTGGATTTATAGGAATGACGTCGTTTGAAAATAGAAAAATGATATCCGCGCCGTTATTCCGAAGCTTTCAACGTTACGGGCATGCGTTTCCGATCTGTTCTAATAAAAAGTTAAGTCTTTAAGTGTAGAAAACGGAAATAACTTCCCACTCGTAGCATCAAAGAAGCATTAATAGAGCTCTTTTGATGCTACAAAGGGAACTTAGACCTGTCGGGGGGAATTTTTAATTCTACGTCGAGTCTTCGAGCAGAGAAAGCGGGAATACCTTCACATTTATAACATCGAAAGCAATACAATACAAGACCTTCGAAGGCAACGTAGCACCAAACAGACTTACCGTAGAACTGAGATTTCGACTCAGGCGGCACTTATTGTACTCCTTCGATGCTACAAGCGGAAACTTGTTCCTGCTTTCCCCATTTCTCTACTCGAGAGCTTAACGTAGAATTGGAAATTTCGAAAACTCGGCAGAAAAGACGCCCATCTTTTCCGTTTTCCCTTTATTTGATCTCAACGGAGAATTCGCAAGTTACAAGCGGAGTCTCGTCAACCGCCGGCGTGCAAGCCCGTCGACGAGCTTGCGATGTCACCGCCCGTGTCGCGCCGAGGTTTTGCGATCCTGCGAGTCGGTATTTCGCATCGGCGTCGAACGCGTCAACGTGTCGTCGCGCCGACGAGAGCCGTCACTGCGAGATCACTTCGCCGGCGGAGGTTCGCCCCCGGGAGGGACGAAAATCGAAAGCGGGTGGAGCGAAGGAACGAAAAACGGTCTTTAATTATTTGCGATCGGGCGCGGGCGGGTCCCGCCGGAGAGTTTGACGGAGAGTTAATTAATCCCGCGGTATAATTAAAGCGTCGTTTCGCTCGCGGAGGGCAGAGCGCGCGTGACCCGCCCCTTTCGAAGTTAAACTCACCGAAGATCACAAATCGTGAATCGTGAGGCTGCGAGCTGTCCGAACTGCCCGCGACTCGCCACGAACGGCGGGAGGAGGGGGGGAAAGAGGGACGTAGGGGGTGAAAAGGAAGCGGACTCGGGCACGCGACAGGGGTAGACCGGAGAGACCGATTTAATTAAATTCTAACGCTTTCACGGAGGACGCGACGTCGATCGCGCGCCCAGGATATCTCCGATCCCCGGGATCAGGAAGAGGGAATCGGTGCTCCTGGGGCGGGGGTCGCGCGAAATAATTTCTTTCGTCGTTGCGTTCCCTCCGCTCTCTCCGTGCTCTCCCCAAAGTGGGGCCAAAGCTCGTCAGCGACGATATTGCGTTCTGACGAGACCCGCCGGGGGACAGCTCGCGCGAGTGACGGAGGGGGGGGGAGGGTGGCATCACGGGGCGGAATTTCACGGCCAGAAGTGGATTGAAAGTTTTTGATGTTATTGGACGCCGGACGTCAATTTCGTCGTTGCGCGGCCGAATCGCGGCCATTAATCGGCACTGTCGCCGCTCGTCAATAACGATGGAATTACGGGCGACAAAGGTCCCTCGTATTATTTCGAAATCATATCGCTCGACTCTCGAGCCACGTCCGTATACGCGCGATACGCGCTGTGAAAATGTGTTCGCGCGCGCGCGCGCGGAGAAATCCCATCCGCGGCTCCTTCCGCGTTTTTCCGCGCGAGCGCGATCACGGTGATTGCCGTCGTTCTTTCCGCTTTTCGCTGCTCGTTAGTGCGCTTTCGCGCGTCTTGAAAAAATCGGCCGTCCCGCGCGCGGATGCGCGCGCTATCGGCTTAAAGCCGGGCCTTTCCGCGGGCGATTTCGCGACGCGACATCCATTGCCGCGAGTCGCGTCCCGCCTCGTTCACGGCGGATTCGCGAATAATAATTTCGCCAATTAATTTGTCGAAATAACTCGACTTCGCGGAATAACAGCGAACGACGATCGCTACGCACGCCCGTTCGTTCGGCACGTGCACAAAGGATCACGCGCATTTAAAATAGGCGTTGTTTGCGCAAAAGATTCATTGTTTACTCACAGCCGTGCACGCCAGTGCCGTATCTCTGGTAATTCATAAGCGTGACAAGGGGGCGCGCGCACATTATAAACGCGCCAAGTCCCCGGCGGAGACGTTTCCATGGAGATATCATCACGGTTGGCCTATTTTCAACGACGAGCACGTACTCATTGACTGTACACGGTGCACGGCCAATTATTGCAACAACGCTCGCTATAATCACAAAGGGTGCATCCGCCGATTGCTCCGCGATCTGCTCTCGTTCGTCCGACGATCTCATCGCCGAGAGTGATCGTTCGAACGAGTTCGACGACCGATCGGCTCGCTGCACGAATCCGTAAAGGAAACGTTATTTCCTTCCAACATTAAATTAACAACGATGGCCTCGCAACGGCGAAATGATTCCTTCCCGTCAACGTTTACACCTTCTCGAGGTCAATTCTCGCCCAACACCTTTTCTTTTCATCAACATTCTCAGAGAACTTCAACCCTAAATCGGAAATCAACGCATCTCTCTCTCTCTCTCTCTCGATGTCCGCGGGTACTTTTCGCACGCGTCTCCTAATATTTCACGACGATAACACGCGCGATCGCATGCATGCGCGAAGGGCGCGAGGAGGGGGTGGCTCGCGCGACGAGACGACGCATATTCCCTCGGCATTTCCGCGCGACGCGTTTATCCGACTGTCTATTTTCAGCGACGCGTAACTTATACCCTTACACCGCAGGATCCAGCGCGGGATGCGTACGCACGCATCCCGCGCTTTTTTCCCCCTGGCAATTCGTCACACGTACGTGCATAATAACGTCCGACGGCGGATGGTGGAGACGAACGGCGGCTGCAGAGGCGCAAGCGCGGCTCGCGCGGCTCGCGCGACTCGAAAACGACGGGGACGGCGGTTCGCCTTCAGTCGAGCACCGACGTCGTCGACGATGAGGTCGCCTCCCTCGTTCCGAAGAGCCAGCCCCGTCTCGCGCACCGATGCCATGTGATCGTCCGGCCGTGGGAGAAGGAGCGTTGGATCATGACGGCGCACGTGGACGGCAGGACGCGTTGACTGTCCTCGGGAACTCGTCCTCGGGGTAGCTCGGGGGAGGAACTCGCGATGCGCGTTGCACGGCCGGCGAAGTGAGGGAAGACTGAGATCTCGAGAAGAGCGGCGCTCTCGGGGAGAGAATGGCAGGGCGCGTTTCCGGTGGCAGCAGCCACGTGCGAGCGATCGTCGGTGCCGAAGACGCGATAATTGCCCCGCGAGTCTCGAGTCCTGCCCGACGTTGAGACCGAGGAACTTGCCCGGGTGGTGGTTGGTGCCTGGTGGTGGTAGTACAGTAGCGGTATATCGGGGCTGCGCGGGGAAACGGGGGTGGTGCGCGGTCACGTACGGAGCATGTGACACGATGAGGTGGTGTGGTGGCCCATGCGATCTCCTGCGGCGCAAGATCTTCGTCCTCCTCGTGCTGATCGGCTGCAGCGATGGCTACCTCAATATATTCATCAGCCAGTCGCAGGTCATGAAGCTCTTAGGTACGTACGGCCGCTGCTCGCGAACGGAGGAGACGCGCGACGAGGGTGGGAGCGGTCGAATAAATCGGCATTGTCAATTAAACGGCGCGGGGCGGAGTTGGCTCGAGAGGTTGCTTGTTCGGCGATTCGCGCGCTTTCATCCCCCGGTGCGTCGAGTATATCCGAGAGCACGCACCGGGTAAAGGAAAACATTCCTGCGCGGGGATGATGCGGGCTTCGAGTATCCGATTCCACTTGATTTGCGGATCCGGCCGGCCGCTCCTGTCTGGATTTCTCGACGCGTTGAAATCATCGTAATCCTCGAGAGTCTTATTTCAGACATTATTTACAATTGTTAATGTTAATTTATTAATGATTATATTTCTGTTCGGCGCGAATCTATCGCGGAAGTGTCGCTTCGTTCCGCAGTTACGCGGGCCGCACTGTCGATCTGCGAAAAATGCCTCGGGAAATTTCAAGGAGAGGCACTTTTATCCGATACATTGAAGTACAACGGCCGATCAAAACTGTATACATTCCGTCGGCTTCCGTTAAAACGCTTAAAGGGGGCGAATCCGACGACCGAGCTTGACGCTCGGTACACGCTCATTATACACGACGTATATTTGCCCGGCATGCATCATTCATGAAGTAACTCTAATTATATCTGGTTTATTAATGGAACAATCTGCCTCTTACGAGCGACTTTTTCCCCCGTCGTTATGTGCCGTGTCATCCTAACTTCGCGCGAGCGCTATTTGCGAGAGCGTTAAAATGTTCGTTCCTGCTTTCCTCCTTCCCTCCCTCTCTCCCCACGTTACTTTTTCCATTCAATCTAAACTCGCACGTACGTTTCCGCGGTAAACATGAAAATCTCCCCTCCCATGGCGATGCTCGTTAACAGGTCCCATTACAATCGCGCGTCGGGCGCGGTATTTTCTGCGAGCAAACGACGAAAGCCGGCGGACGGCGTGGAAAATACCTGACAGAGAGATTCCGCGACTGTTACTGCGCGCGTTCGATACTCGCGCGTCATTGCTCGCGCGCGTGTAGTCGCGGTACCGCCGATGAAAACGAGGGGATCAGACGTGTAGCGTTAAGAAAAAGAGAAGAAGAGGAGGCGGGAAGGAAGGAAGGAAGAGGAGGCGGGAGCGAAACGCAAGCCGAGGAAAAGCCAAGCTCGAAGGAGCGGTAGGGCTATTAAGAGAACTCGTTGTTGCTGTTTCGACGACAATAGGAAATCGGGCTTCCCCGGTGTACAAAGAGATAAGAATAATGCGGAGATAAATAACGAAGAGCAGACGAGAGTGGTAGAGCAGAGAGAGGGCGCACTTCAATCTTCAATCGTCCCCGCTATCTTCAGGAACTTGAACGATATTTCCTCTTGCAAAATGCGGATGTTCGAGGCTCGATGAAACTACGATGAAACAATCATAGGAGGGCCGTGACGAGCCAGACGGATATATAATAGCGCTACGATAACGAATACTTATTGAGATCCCGTAGAAGAACGATTCAGGCGGGGTATGAATCCTTGTTACGTTAATATTTCAAACGTTTCCGTCTCCAAGCAGACCGTTCCTTCGGGGGATTTAATAATGTACGAATCAGTCGGAAATAAGAACGATGGAAGATCCGATGTTATGAACGTTATAAAGTTATCAAGGCGGGAGGCCCGATTCCGACGAAACACCTTCGTGTGATACAAACAAGCGGATATCCCTAGTCGGCATTTCGGCCCTATGTTAAACCTTTAATTCTACCACATATTAGGAGTTAAGATAGTAAAATAGGTTCGATTTCTAATAGTTCGAATTCTAATAACATGATATAATCCCTACTTCGACCCTGATGACGTCTTAAATTTCCGTTCCCGCTGTCTCGACGTTAAGACAGGACGCCGAGGGTAGCGTTAAAATCCGCCCTGTGGAATCCAAGATTCCAAAGGGAAATTGAAAAATATCAACATCGTCGAAGTAGAAAAATGTCCATCCGAACGATCCTTAAGGGCGTCAGAGTGGCGTCGAAATTTCGACGCTTACCGCATCCCCGAGTGCGCAATTAACGCGACTACGCGTCGCGTCGCGAGGGAGAAAAATCTCTTTCGCGCGCGCTTTTAGTGACTCGCGGGTGTCGCGCGTGCCTCGAGGCGCTCGCGACGGAGAACGCGGCGAAAGGGCGAATTAGCGTCGGGGCCGAGTCGAGTGTCATTTCAGCAATTTGCGGCACGAGCGGCACTCGTTTTTAATGGTTTCGCCGGCTCGCACGTATGCTCGGCCGCGCGCCGTGTACGCGCCCGGAGTCTCCGTTCCATTCGATATCACTTTACGGCCCCGTGATTCATATCCGCGCTCGTTTCCCCGCGTCCCGGCCTTCTCCCTCGCTACTCGACGTCGGTCGGGGGTGGACAGGTGCGGTGAGGCGGGGCTCGACGGAGGGCGGCCGGGGAAAAAAGTGGAATCGCCGTATTTACGAGCGGCCGGCCGCTCGTGACTCTTCGAAAATCGAGGCAATCCTGGCGGTCTCGCGACTCTCCGAATGGCGGAACGGCCCCCGACACGTTCCGCCGGATGCGCGCTGTAGCGTCGGGTCGCGCGCGGCACTTTCATACATTTCACCGTTAATCGCGAAATATGGCGCGCCGGCAAAAAAAAAAGCGAGAGAGAGGAAAAGGGATAACGCGCGGAGGCGAGCGTCGAAGTGCGCGAATTGAAAGCGCGTCGCGGTGAGATTCGACGCGCGGCCCTCTTCTTTTTCTTCTTCCTCGTCGTTTCTTCGGCGTCGGTGGTTCGTTTGTCGGCAAATAGATGTGATCTCGCGTCCACGGGTGAAGATCACGGGAAGCGACGTGGCGCCTGATGAGGGCCAGGACGAATTTCCGGAGAAACGTTTGAATACGAGATACTCGCGCGCACGAGCCTCGTAATACGCCGGCACAAATTGGGTTACTTCGGCTCCTCTCTCTCTCTCTCCACTGGCAACTTCCGTCCATCTTCGGCGAAATATATAATTCGATTTCGCGAGAGAATTATACGCGAGGGCGGTCGGAGCTCGCGTCTGGTGTAAGTCGCGAAAGGACGACTCGGATAAGAGGGACGACGCCGACAGGAGGGGAATATAACGGAGTCCGTAAGTTTTCGGATCGCAGACGAGCGCTTTTTCGTGACTGTTTTGCACCGGTTCACGCGAGAAACGACGGGGGGAGGGAGCATCTCGCCGGTGATTCGCTGAGGTTAATCGCCGAAGGAGTAAAAGCGGAGCTCGACCACCAGGGGTGTGAGTAAACGCATCGACGCGCCGAGCTAAGCGGAGATGAGCGAGTCTCCGCGTTCCTTAAACGGGCGCATTTTTCAAGCGCCATCCGCGAACCCCCGGATACAGGATAATCTTCGTCACATTTCGGATTCCGCCGTCGGGGACAGGGAGGGGGGGGGGGGCAGCAGGGACGGNGGGGGGCAGCAGGGACGGAGGGCCAGACGACGGGAAAGTGAAAGGGTTGCTCCTGGGAGGAGTAAGCGGTGGGGCAAGTTTCGTCGCCGAGGCTCTCGAAAGTCACTTAACTTAGATTGCACGAGCGAAATGACTTTACTTCCTCGGAAAACTTCGTTCCGTTGGAAAGGCATCTCCTCTGCGAGCACCAAAAAAAAAAGAAGAAGGAGAAAAAAACCGGAGAATAACGAGAAAAACGAGGAAAGCCGAGCGAGAGAGAGAGAGAGAGAGAGAGAAAGATAGATAGAAATAGAGAGGAGGAGGAAGGAAGGACAGTGTGTGGATGTATATGTGTGTACGCGCATGAGAGAGGTGGTTGAAGGTGGTGTTACGTAGGGTAGGAGAGACGGAAAATACTCGCGCCGCCTCCGCCTCGCACCCCCTCTCTTCGCGAGGACGGAAGATACGAGTCGACTATTACCTGACACCTCCGTGCGGATTCAGCATTTACTTCCGCCCGGAGTTCGAAACGTTTACACGGGGGTTTGCTCTGATTGGGCAGGGGATTTCTCACCGTGTGATGAAAGGCGCCGGATGAGCTTGCGCCTTTGAAGTAATATCCTTATTCCTCGAATGGAGTTGTCTCCGGCGGCTCCCTGGATTTACTACCGAAATTGCTTCGCGCTAGTCAACCGTCGGCTCTCGTGGCTCCCGACGACGTCGTCGAGTACGTCGCGGCGGCTCTCTCACCCCCTCCGCGGAAGGTTATTTTAAGGTAACGTAATCCTCCGTAAATGGGCCAGCCCCTCCCCGCGGGGAGCGCCCGCGAATATTCGCGCGTATCCGTGATATTAAGTGAGTAAGAAGTCTCATCACGGGAATACGAGAGAAACACGAACGGTAAGCGCGGAATAATCGGACAATGATAACCGTTATTGCGTTCGATATCGCGCCGAATTGATCGTGAAATATTCGAGTCGCAAGTTGCGCAAGTTGGAATCGCGAGTGATCTCTCGGACGGGATCGCTTTTTGACGAATAAGTCGCGCCTCCCGCGACCCGCGTGTCAATTCGACCGGTCTGTGTTTCGCGCGTCGGACGGCGAAATATTAACGGAGTAAATGAAGGAATTCGCGGGAGGAGGGCCGATATTTGCGCTGCGTCCTGTTTGTCCTGCGTATACAGATTTCGAGAACGGCGCGCAGACCGGGAGCCTCCCCCGGCGCCGTGGAGTTCTAGAATTGATTTTTAATTTGCCACCGGACACGTTGCAATCGTCTCCGTATGTTTGTCCTGTCTGGACCACGGGAACGGTCCGACAAACAACCGACAACGTGTTCATTGCCGCCGACTGTCGGACCAGCTCGTCGGAACAACCCTTGTCGATTCCCCAGGCTCCGCGTCGCTGGAAACGACACGAGAGAGAGAGAGAGAGAGAGAGAGTGACAGAGAGAATCGATTATTCCGCAAGAACACCCATACGAAAAAGAGAGAAAAAGGGAAGGAAATGCATCGCGTCGTGCGAAGAGATTAACATGCGTAGATTCGTGGAGCCACCCGTTCCTCACATCCGCAAGTATTCCCTCCCGCAGA